AAAAGTCTCGAGCTGAGGCCTCATCACCTTTTTTTTTTTTTTTTTTTTTTTTTTTTTTTTCACTTATCAAACGATTGTGAAAAAAGGTAAAGAAAAAATAAATAACAATCACAGTGGTCGTTGATATGCACTCTCGTGTGCGAAGGAATTGCGAAATTTCGCGCTTGCCTGGCTTTGCGAGCGAGGGTTTTTTTCTTTTTTTTTTCTTTTTTATTTCTTTTTTTTTTTTTCGTGCATTGTATACGTGTGCATACAGGCTTTTCTCCGTCCCCGCGTGGTATTATGCTCGTATTATACGTACGTACATGTGTACAAGGTGTTGCATCAGGTAGGTTTTATACAAATGTATATATGTACCTACAAGACGTCTCTCGCGAGTAAGTACTGCTGTACACAGTTACTCTCTCGTGTACGTACCGGAGATTGTGACGCCGCGTTGGCTGTAACGAAGTTTAGTGGTTTTTTTGTTGTTACTTTACTTTTATTTTTTCTTCTACTCCGATATATACAGTACAAGATGAACACCATATTAATGATTCCAGAAGCATCGATTACATTTTTCGACGAGTCGAACTTTCTAAAATATACGTGTGCGCGTGCGTATATGACACGAAAAACACGTTTCCAATCGCGCGAAGGACGAGTAAATTAAATCAACCCAATAGCCCAACGGAGGAAAAAAAAAATCATGGAACCCGCTGTTAACGAATCGAGGGACCTGTTGTTTGGACCACTCATGGGTATGTACGTCATTTTCCCTGAGTTACACAAAAAAAAAAAAAAACAGCCGCAACTGGCGTTGTAGATCTACACCTATAAACATGTGTAGATTAGAATTTTGTCTCTCTCTCTCTCTCCCATCACCACTGCCAGTTATAATGTACGCGAAAATAAGCCAATCTCGTTCCACGGCAAAGAGTCGAAGGTGTTTTTTGTTTTTTTAAAGATGCTCTCACGTCGTATAGTCGTTATGCGCATGATAAAATCGTTTACGTAAGCGATCATCGCGATTCGTACGTAAGTATCCTTGCGCACCTATACCGCGCGCTTACGTGTACACCCGTATACGTACGTATGTATTTATTTATACGCGAAGACGAGGGTTCATAATGAGAGATAATTTGCTCCGATCTGTGTGCGCTTGTGTTACGGCGACTCCCACGCTTTTATGTGGCGCGCCGTATGGAGTCGAGTAAGTAAGCGCGCGATCGTGTGTATATATATACTAGCCAACGGACGATTTTTTTCCGCGTTACGTGCAAGTGCCGATGCATCTTGAGAAAGTTGCGCCTTGAAAATAAAGAAAGGGGAGAGATGCCGCGCTCGCGATCTACGTGCATTTCGATGCTGGGCCCTCATTGGCACCAACCAAGCGTGCTGTAACGTTAAAAGTGCGGGCATTACGTCCATACGCGTTGTTTATTTACTCGCTGTGGGTGTACATCGCCGATCGATCCATCCGATCCTGCGTATTTCACGAATTTTTTACCAGCCGACGTATATACATGGTTACCGATTTTTACTGTCAATGCGCGAATAACAACAAATAGCCACATTACAGAAGTCCAGGCGAGTTAGATTGTGCTACAACAGTGCTACATCGTGCACGTCTGTGCATCTGTTGTTGGCACCTTATTGGCAACTTTTGCTTTCTACATTGTGTGCGGAAGTCATCATACCTGTACGTACATAGTGCGATCAAATGAATAAAAGCTTTAAGAGATCTTTACCTCCATATGTTGTATATATTATATACGTACGTACGCGCCATTAGTACCTGTACATACCGATCGACATAATATATTCAACCGATTTCTTGTAATTCAGGCTGTTACAATGAAAATGTTGATGCACGTAAAGACTGTGGGTACAAAATACCTACTTTTAAATACAATGCCTCTCCAAGTATGCAAATACCTGCCGAGAGCTACTCTCCCGAAAGCTCCAAAGCGCCGATCGCCAAGTAGGTAAGGTAAGTATAAAAATCTTTCTTCGAGTAAACGCGCCCGATGTACGTGTATGTATACGTACCTAAGTAAGAGTCGTTTACTTACACTGCACAGAAAAAAAAGGGAAGAGAGCACGCTCGCGTGTTACTTTGCGTTAGTCGGACGCGGGAAGGGTCACCGGAAGAGAAATCACCGGTTATTTTGCTTTAAAATATTCCGCGTGTCGTTAGGTCTGCATAAGTATGCGTGATCTCCGCGCTCGAGAGCCTCCCATTCGAGAAAGTGCAATCCGTACCCGAGTACCTATATACCTATACATACATGTACGTTAGTAGGGTATGTGTTTGTGTTCGAAGAGACGTACATACACGTTACACGGTTAATGTATGCCACGGGCCACGATGAAAGTTTCGGTTGTATACACTGTGCCGCTCATGGGCTTGCACAACTTTTGACGTTTTCGTGTGTATATACCTATACAACACGTATGTGTGCACGTATCAATGGCCGTATACCTGTATATAAACTACCGATGTTGTTCGAGAGAAGGATGATCGTTAAGACGAAACGTGCGCTGAGTTTTGTGTTTGTTTCTCGGATCGATTTACCATCCGATCGGCAGCTGCTGTGTGTATATGGGTATACGTACTCGAGTGTATGATGTACTCCTTGTTGTTGCGTCTCTGCTTGAATTTTGAAAAAGCACGTAGGCGTATCGGGGAATTGTGTCGTTTCGAAACGAGAACTGGATCTCGTTTGGTTTTTTCGATCGATTCACGCCGGTGAATTGTGTTCCTCTGCCGTTGACATCGATTCGCGGGGAAAAAAGAGACTGTGCACGTCAGAATATTGGGTTGACGGTTTTTGAGGAGCACGAGCTGACAAAGTCATTGAATTACACTTTCAATCCAAATAAACTCCGGAGCTCTTCCAAACAAATAAAATAGAAACAGAATCGGCGATCGAATCGAACTGCAACGTGGTCAAATTCACGGAACAACCAATCGAAATATGTAATTGGAAAAAAAAAAAGAAAATTACCATCCCCCAAACCCTGTTCCGTTATAGTACTAATTTTGTAAAAAAAAAAAAAAAAAAAAAAAAAAAAAAAAAAAAAAAAAAAAAAAAAAAA